GATTGGCTTGACTTTTCACATTGTTCTGTGCAGACCGCAACAAATTTTGGTGCCTCCTGTGAGGTTGGCATAAAGTATCTTTCATTACTTTACTGTGGTAGAGTGGTATTGCTATGAGTTATCCCAGTATGATATTGGTTTTAGTTGACAATAAATCGGAGACAATGAAATACGGTAGGACGTTTTGCATCATGTATAGTTGTTGTATGGTGGTACCTTCTTTTTCTTTTGCTTTGGTTCTTTGAGTCCTTCTTTACTTTTTCGTGGATGTAGTCTCTTCGCGATGGGTTGGGTCGTTTGCTTGTCTGAGGATCCCAAGCTTTCTGGCATTTTTCCTCCGCTGGTTTTGAATGAGAGATTTTTTTTTAGTCACACACTCACCCTCTGGAAGTGTGCTTAGTGGTTTAAATGTTGTACTTTTTTCCAATCGGTGATAATGGGCTGTCCAATTCTCTCCTCTTGGGTCACGAATATACTGCTACTCGTACTATTTTGCAATGCTTGGGGTGCAAGCTGATTAGTCTCGGCGTTGATCTAAATTCTAGTTGGTCCTTGGAGGAAAAAGGCGTTGGGATTTTTTTGTTGTCCTTGTCTTGTAGGACATATTCGTGATAGGTGTCCTGTTTGGTCGTAGATATAGCAGTGAAACAGGTTATTGGTACTGTCGTTGTGGTTTCTCATATTTTATTTCCTGTGGTCATTGTTATAATTCGATTACCTATAGGTTATGTTCGCCGTTCTGTTGTTATAATTAGGTCTCCTAAAGGATGTGTTCGAAGCTCTGCTGTCCTTTTCAATAATCTTTTATAATGTTTCAACTATTGGGACTAGTGCCTTTTGTACGGCGCATTCTATCGCATTTTCTTTGACAGTGTCCTGGTCACATATGAGTGTAAATCCTTGTCTGTTTGCACTTGTAGTGGTGCCATATCCAACTGTGGTCTCAGGATAGACCTGCGCGTTGTTACCGGTGGTCCCTGGTTTCCTCAAGAACCACCTAATGGAGTGACTTAACGGTTCTTTTAAGGAGTTTATAGTCCTTTCCCGAAGGTAAGACTGTTGTATCATCATTTTAGAAGGCACCACTGATTCAATTATTTTAGAAAGGGAATCAGACCTTTCATCCATTTTATTTCAATATCTTTTTTTATTCATCATTATCCTTAATATTAATACTTGTCCATTAATTATCTTTTAATTTCATCAACTTTAAATATTATTTCCAATTATCCAAGTCAATTATTATTCTAAGTCCAGGATTTATTTTAATAGTTTATAATTAATTTCATTAACTCAGGAATAATAATATTATACAATTATACAATCAAGTATTTAATCCCATAACATCCATTATTCCTTTATTAACTACATGTTTTATTATTTA